AGCTAGGCTGATGCCACGGCATTCTAGCCCAGGCAACACAGTGAGACTCTGTCTCAAAAAAAAAAAAAAAAAAGACCCAGGCTCTGTTTTCACTTTGTCCTTAGCAGGTTGTCTAGTTATCTCCTAGACACAGGGTGGCTGCTGCAATTCCAGACATCACATTTGTATTCAGAGAAGGAAAAAGGGTAAGGTGTAGGGACCAGACACATCTGCCCTTTTGGGAAAGTGAAAGCTTTTCCAGAACACTTGCACCAGAACTGTGGCCAGAACTGTGTCACATGGCCACCCAAATTGAGTGAGAGACTGGGAAAGCAAACTTTTCCAATGATAGTGGAGGTAGGCAAGGGAGAGGGGGTTGGCAGTCATTGGGCTAGCCAGCCAATAGTGATATCTTCCATATCATTCAACATCTTTTGCCACCTCTTTTACTATTTAAACCTATTTAAAAAAATACATGTATTTTTGCCTCAGGTATCACATTGAGAAAACCATGTATAAAACATATTAACACAAAATTATTTACAAAAAATGCCACCTTTTGAGGAATTCCTGATAGTGTAGACTCTCGATACTGTGTCTAAGATGATGGCATTGATAACCATCAGTGCTTTTTCATCTGTGCAGGTGTTCTGATTCGGTCACAATAATTACATTCAGTCTATGGATCAGGGGGGCTGATCCTGCTTTTCAGAGTTTTCTTCTAGACTTTTTGGGAGACTATCATGAAGGACACTCTTTTTCTGAGATTAAAAACCGTAAGGACCCTGGACACCTGATTTGCAAGGAGCCAAAAAGAAAGAATCCTAAAGCCTTTATTTGAACTTCTGTTTCTAATCAAGTCAAAAACCCTTGGTCTTCCCAGTTGTAAGTGCTAAGAAATTCCTTTTTTCTCTTTCAGTTGATCTGCTTTCACTCCCACCTCACTCCCACTCCCACCAGTACATTTAGGAGTGAAGTATGTGAATAAATTATGCCTGGATGAGAAAGATCACTCGTGAGCCCTTGAAGGAGAGGGTCTGCGTCTCACATATTTTATGCCCCAACACATTTTCATAGTGCTTTGTAAATAGCTAGCTAAAATTTTGGATTTTAAGGTATATATGGAAAAAAAAATGGCCAGGTGCAGTGGCTCACACCTGTAATCCTAGCACTCTGGGAGGCTGAGGTAGGAGGATCACTTGAGGTCACGAGTTCATGACCAGCAAGAGCGAGAGTGATACCCCCATCTCTACTAAAAAAAACAGAAAAATTAGTCAGGTGTGGTGGCACA